GCGTGCCCACGTGCTTTTACCCCATGAGGTTCTCAAGGAGCTCGAGCTGAACGAGAACGAGATAGGCCGCCTCCCGCTCAGCCGCAGACTAGCGGGCTGCACCGTGGGCATCACCATGCCAGAACGCATTTGGGGGCAGAACGAAAAGGATGAAAACCAGCAGCAGGAGGAGAAACATCAAGGAGGGCATCGTCAATTCTCGCGTAGAGACCATGTGGAAATCCCCCTGGCAGGCAGGGCGTGAACCGAGGCTGCAAACAAGGGGGGAGAAACCAACTCTTCACTGGCACCCCATGGGCCCTGGCCTGGCGTCGGGCGTCTAGCTTAGGGGCCCGGGGCTCGAGGCCAGCGCCCACTGGCCATTTTGATTGACCCATCGCACGGATCGCGCCCCCGAGGAAACCAGGGCTTCCTGTGTTCCCCAACTAAAGCCTTTTTTTTCTGACTTGTGTTTGATGTGTTATGCCGCCAGCGTTTTCTTGATCCAGGATCTTTGTACCTTGTGCACGTCCATGGGGCGTTAGACCTGTCGAGTCCATGGCGCTTCATTTCTTGCGGCGGTCGAGGCGGCGACGTTCTGCCCGAGAGTGGCGCCACTTCTGCACAATGGAGGGCAGAGCTGCAAGGGTGCTTCCCATGCTCCTCCCCCCCCCTCCCGCCCTGCCTCTCCCCTGACTCCGCAAATCGACAGTTCTCACGATTCCGTGATTTTTTCTATGACAACCAACGATGAGTCGTTCTTGTGATGCGAAAGAGTCTTTCCCACGATGTATGATTTTTCCAGTCATGCAGTGTACGATTTGTTTCGTTTGAACGGCGTGGGTTTCATGTTGCACAGATGACGCGCACCAATCATTTGACAGCGCAGAGTTCCACCCTCCAGCTCCCCCCCTCCGCAGGAAGGCCACTCTTGTCCCCAGGGCCCCCCCAGAGCGGCCCCGCTGCGCTGGCGAGCCCTGGAGAGCCGGGCAGCGAATCCCGAGCCGAGCCAGGTTCGCGACGAATGCTGGCTCACAGGACCAGGCGTCGCCCTCAGTGCGATCGCTTCGCCTTTTATAGCATAACTCATGGCATTCGAACTGGGCACGCAGGATGGTGGGTATTCGTAAATCGTGGCAGCTGCAGTGGGTGTGTGGCAGCACCTTGGCCCGAGATCAGACGATCAATCATCATAACAGAAAGGCGAATGCTGCTGCTGCTACTACTACTACTACTACTACTACTACTACTACTACTACTAATATTTACTACTACTACTACTACTACTACTACTACTACTACTACTACTACTACTACTACTAGTATTACTGCTAGTACTACTACTACGAGTACTGCTACTACTACTACTACTACCACTACTACTACTACTACTACTACTACTACTACTACTACTACTACTACTACTACTACTACTACTACTACTACTACTACTACTACTACTACTACTACTACTACTACTACTACTACTACTACTACTACTACTACTACTACTACTACTACTACTACTACTACTACTACGGCTACTAATACTTCGACTACTTCTAGCACGGGTACTAGAACTACCACTACTACTACCACTACTACACCTACACTACTACTACTACTACTACTACTACTACTACTACACCACTACTACTATTACTACTACTACTACTACTACTACTACTACTACTACTATTACTACTACTACTACTACTACTACTACTACTTGTACTACTAGTACTACTAGTACTACTACTACTACTACCACTACTACTACTACTACTACTGCTACTACTACTACTACTAGTACTACCACGACGACTACTACTACTACTACTACTACTACTACTACTACTACTACTACTACTACTTCCAGTAATACTACTTTGACTACGTACAGTATCCATATGAATACTGATCGTACTAGTAAGAGAAGAATCAAGAGAGACACGCTACGGATAATATGAATACCAATCCTGCCAAGAAGAATGAGAAGACGCACGCCAAGACGGATACTAATATTAATGCTTGTTACACATAGTACGGTTACTATGTATAGTAAAAGAATATTGTTGGTAGGCCTATGACTAATACGAATGGTACGAGTACGACCAATCATATTTAGTAATGATTAGCTAATCATAAAAAATACCACGGAGAAACGATATGTATATTCGTACTGCTAGTACTATCCATCATACTAGTACTAAGACTAGTGATCTGAATCATCATAAGAATGAGAATAACAAGGAGGAGCAGGGCCCCGTCGCAGCTGTTCAGAACTCCTGCGAGACAGTGGGGCGGAGAGCGGGCCGTGGTTCTGCCTTAGCGGGGGCTGGCGAGGGCCCAGCAAGCTAGCGCCGGGACGCCACGCCCTTCTGCTACACAGTACATCGGGCAAGCAGAGAGTTCAGACTCACCAAGTGGCGTGCCCGCGTTTTTGTCGGCCAAGGGTGCGTGACGAACACAGGGGGCTGCGCAAGCTTGGCATCTGAATCAGATTCGCCTCGCGGAGTTTTTCATCTCGTCCCCGCCTAGTGGGAATTTGGGGCACATGGTGTATTGCGAAGGCCTTGCTGCTGGTGCCGCCGACCCTGAAGACGAAAATGAAAGGGAGGGGGGGGGTGCAGGGAGGAGGAGGAGTGGCAGGAGGACGAGGAGGAAAAGGTGCAGGAGGTGGATGAGGGAGGAGGGGGGCGGGGCGGGGAAGGATGATGAGGAGGAGCAGAGGGGGGCGGGAGGAGGAGGCAGATGATGGCAGGAGGAGGGGGAGCAGAGGGGGTGGCTGGGGGGGTGGGCAGGAGGAAGAGGAGGAGGAGGCGGAGGAGGAAGAGGAGGAGGAGGAGGAGGAGGAGGAGGAGGAGGAGGAGGCGCTGTGGCTTTGTTGGCTCTTTTAGGGATATCTTTGCATGGTTTCGGGGGGGTCGAGGGGGTAAACCTATCTGGGCGGCGTTTCCCCTGAGACCCACCCCAGGAACCCTCGCTGGGACTTCTCTCCTCGTGGGGAAAGAAGTGCAGGGAATGAGCTTCCAATCGACTGCACTAACGACGTTCAATTTCGCTGTAGATCGCGCGGTTGAGACGAAAGGCCCAGGAAAGTGGACGGGGGACGACGGAGACGGCGAGGAGACGATTGTGACGACGACGGAGACGAGGAGGAGGAGGAGGAGGAGGAGGAGGAGGAGGAGAAGAAGAATAATAATGATGCGGATGATGAGCAGGGTGGCGACGACGAGACGGAGCAGGAGGAGGAGGAGGAGGAGGAGGAGGAGGAGGAGGTCCAGGAGGAGGAGGTCCAGGAGGAGGACGAGGACGACGACGACGTGGCATTCGGGAAGTCTGTGGTGTTTGTCGCAGGGCTACTTGGAGGACTCTTGAAAGCTTCGGCGGGGGCCTCTTGGAAGTATTTGAGATCTCGTTGCGGGTTCTTGGAGCCCTAGTCGGGCTTCCTGGGGGCCTCTTCGGGGCATGTTGGGGAGGAGGAGCAGGAGGAGGAGGAGGAGGAGGAGGAGGAGAGAGGAGGAGGAGGAGGAAGAGGATGCTGAGGAGGAGGAGGATGAGGAGAGGGGAGGAGGAGGAGGAGGAGAGAGGGAGGAGGAGGAGGGAGGAGGAGGAGCAGGAGGAGGAGGAGGAGGAGGAGGAGGAGGAGGGAGGAGGAGGAGGAGGAGGAGGAGGGAGAGGAGGATGAGGAAAAGGAGGAGGGCGCTTGGGGTCATGCTCGATCTGTCTCCAGGCGCTTTTGGGCTGCCGTCGGCTGGCTTGATGGTCTTGTCGGACCGTCTTTGGGTCTTTGGGCTTTCAGACGCCCGACAAGGCGAGAACGCGACGATCCTCCGAACCCCCTCAGACAATACATGCTTGTTACCTCGTGATCCAATCTTGGCGCCTTTTGGGGGTCGTTCAGGACGTCACGAGGCCATCCTGAGTTCGTCAGGCCTTTCCGAATGTCTCCGACGCGTGGAAGCCCTCCTCGTGCCGTGTTGGGAAGTATCGTGGGCATCCTGGAGGCGACGGAGGGTGCATTCGGCGACTCCGAGGGGCCCCAAAGGAGCGCTACTGATCCAGAACCCCCCACCTCCGCGGCCACCCCTCGGAATCCCTGCGTTTGACACCGTGGGGGGAGGGGAAAGGGGAGGGGGACAGCCAAACGTCTCATGCGCCTTTTCACCTAACGCAAACGTGGGTCGGCGGATCTTGATTTCCATGCGTGAGGCGAGCGCAGCAACCTGATTTTGTTTGGGCTGCTCGATATGTCGGGGCCGCCCGGGGGGAAAACGAATCTGGGTGGCGACCCCCCCGGGATCCCCCCCCGCAAGGAAAGGATCAAAGGGGAGGGGCCTCCCTTCGACTCCAATACGACGTTGTGCAATTTTTCTTTGGATGGCACGCTTGAGGAGGGCCCAGGGAAAAAGGGACGGGGGACGACGGATACGGCGAGGAGACGAGCGTGACGACGACGAAGACGACGAGGAGACGACGGAGACGAGAACTCGAACGGAGAAGCCCCTCGCACGCGCCGACAGGGTCGGCAGATTTTTCGGGGTGTCTCCTGAACGGTCTTCGCGCGTTGGGCCTCGCTGCGTCCGTCGCCCTTCCGAGCACCGCGGCGTCGGTGCAGTGCTAACGCCCCCGACCGTCGCGCCCCTTCCACACTACCCCCCCATCCTCGTAGTATGCTTAAAGCCCTAAGCGGGGTGTCGCTTCTGCACCTAGCGCTGTATCGAGAGAGGGCGCTCCAACAGCCCATACTGACAACACGGACGCGCTCCATCACGGCGATTCTACATATGAAGCACGTTCCAGCAACCCGCGGCGGGCGTTCCAGCAACTCGAGCAGAAATCCCGAGTGTGACGTCTCCGTTGCCGTCGGCGCCGCCGTCACCGTCCTTCGATCTCGCTGTCGTCGCCGTTCTGATATCGCTGTGGCCGCCGTCGCCGCCCTCGCCCTTGCCGTCGCCGTCGCCGACGCCGCCGTAGTTGTGGCCGCGGGCGTCGTCGCCGTCGCCATCGCCGTCGCCGTTGCCTTCGCCGCTGTCTGGCCATACATTTTCACTCGCAAATCACTCCACTGGCCGTAGGACAAATAATTCACCAGGGAGTTCCCCAGAGGGCCAGGGCTGGTAACCACCGTTGTTCGCCAAGCTCTCTCATCCTGCGTTGACCAGTAACAGCATGTCCGATATTCTCCCTGTAGTCTCCCCGTTTACAGCCGTTCCTCCTCTTCTTCATTCTGTCCACTTCCGTGCGGGCGCTGTGCTGGCTGAAGTGCCACTGTGCGCTCGGTGCTGGCGTTCCCAGGCAGCTGCAGCCATGAAGAGGATAGCTCTGGTCCACACGCTGCTGCCGCATCTGCTACTGCCTTTCCTGTCTCCTGCCAGTTCCCCCGCGGGGGCGGTGCCACTGCACGCAGTGCTCCCTGACGACCAGGCCTGCAGTGGCCCTGTGGGCTGTGAACCCCTTAGCCTGCTCGAGAAGGGAAACCCCGCCGACCCCGTCGTGGTCGTCTGTTCGGAGCGGTACCGAGCCATTGCTGCCCGGGGACTGGACTGCACGCTGCCCAGCAAGGAGTCGTGGGAGAAGCGGCGGCGGAATGAGGAGCAGCCTCAGAGCGCCCAGGACGGCGAAGATGAGCCGTCGTCTGTGGAGCCCACGCATGCGTTGCTCTCCTGCGGGAACGGATCTGAAATTCACATCGTGAGCGACGAGCAGAACTTCACCAAGTGGAAGAGGACGCTCCAGGACCTCTTGGAGAATGGGCCGAAGGGCGCGACTCTCATCGGGATTGGTCGAATGGCCTTGAAGTCGTTTCACTTCTTTCAACACGGCAATAGCCAGCTGTCAAGTTTTTTCAGCCGGGTCGCCCTCATCACGCTGTATCCTTTGGGTGAGGATAGTTTCTTGTGGAAGAGCGACGCAACCTGCCCAACAACCGTAGAATGCTTCTTCTTCGACATCTTCCCGGGTGTCTTCGCCGCGGGCGTCAGTGCAGGGTTGCCTGCGTGGACACGCCAGGCGGTTGCGATCATCACAGACAGAAGGTCTGCTGACGGCAGCCCTTTTCCTTTCGATACTGACTTGACCTTCAAGGCTTTTGTCAGCGGTGTTAAATATGCAAACCCAGCGCTGGATGTGATCACTACCCAGGTCTCCTTCGACATGTATTTCCCACATGATTCCTTCACCGTCGCCGTGGGCGCTGAGATTAGGACGCTTATGCAGCAAGCGAGCGTGATATATTTGGATATCTTCTCAGAGTCGAGCCTTATCGCAGCCCTTCAAGAGATGCACGAAACTACGAGAGGGTTGAAGGCAGGTTGGGCCATCTTGCCACCGTGGTTCCGTCCCTACACTGACGACGGTGCCCCCCAGGAACGATGGAATAGAGTTGTGTTTAATTCTGTCAGCGTCGACTGGGCACGTGCTGTGCGCGACATTATCGCTAATCCTGGCCATCATGAAAAATTGACGATCCAGGACGGCTATGTTACGACGCTTTGGACCAAGTCGGAACTCGACAGCGACTCGCTTTGGATGAACGACTTCACGGGCGTTTTCGACAAGCAGCCCAATCAGCTGAAGGATTTATCAAGATTTCCTTGCGGCCAACGAGACCGCTCAATTTATGAGCACATGAACGTCGCATGGCATGGACTTACTGCCCCTGAGAAGAGCACTGAGAGAGCCACATGTAACGTCATGGCTAAGGGCTGCAACATCAAGGAGAAGAGGGATCTCAAGCTGAAGCAAGGTAAGATACCCCAGACATGGCCAGATATGTTTTGCAGGCCATTGCCAGGATTCCCCAAACGCTGCCAGGGCTCGCCGATCGAGCAAGACAGCTGTTCTGCGCCCGACGGCGATGACTCGTCACCGGCGATGTTGAGACGTGTGGGCGTGGGGCTGAGCGTGAATCGAAGACGCCTGCGCGAGTCTCCGCCACCTCCTGGACTGGAGACGCCCGTGCATGTTGGAGGTTTCGGTGCTGAGGAAGAACGCAGGAACACTCACAGACACAGACACACACACAGGCACAGACACAGACACAGACACAGGCACAGACACAGACACAGACATAGACACAGACACAGACACATATGCAGATACATATACAGACGCAGACACAGACACAGACACACACGCATTCACACACATTCACACATATCCACATATTCACATATTCACATTCGCATGCATACATTCACGCATTCACATATTCACACATTCACGCATTCAGGCATTCACACATACACACATTTACATGATCTCACATTCACACATTCACGTATGCACGCACGCACGCACGCACACGCACACACGCACACACGCACAGACGCACACACATGCACACACACACACACGCACACACAACCACACACACTCACCCATGCACACTCACCAGCACACAAACCCACGCGCACACACACGAACACACACGAACACACACACATACATACCACACACACCCCACACAGACACAGACACAGACACACACACACAAAGACAGACACAGACGCAGACACAGACTCAGACTCAGACAAAGACACAGACACAGACACAGTCACAGGCACACACAGAGACATGCACACAGACACACCAACAAACAACTCACACAACACACACAGAGACACGCACGCGCACACGCACACGCAAACGCACACGCACACGAACGCGTACACGCACACGCACACGCACACGCATACGCACACGCACACACATAGGCTTTACACAACACAACACGACACAACACAATACAATACAACTCACCACAACTAACACACAGCACACAAGACTCAAGACACAACACACAACACACAACACACAACACACAACACACAGTACATAACACACAGCACACAGCACACACTACACACCACAACACATAAAACACAACACACAGCACACGACACACAACACACAATACACAACACACGACACACAGCACACAACACACACCCAACAGCACACAACACACAGCACACAACACACAACACACCACAACACACAGCACACACAACACATAACACACACCACACACCACACAGCACACACCACACAGCATACACCACACACCACGCACCACAGAACACACACCACACAACACACACACACACCACACAATGCACACCACACACCACACAACGCGCAACACACACCACACAACAACACAGCACACAGCACACGACACACAGCACACAACAAACAACATACACCACACAACACACACCACACAGCACACACGCACACACCACAGACCACACACCACGCACCACACAACACAACCCACAACGCACAGCGCACAACACACAACACACAGCACCCAACACACAACACACGACACACAGCACATACACCAGACAACGCACAACATCAAAAACGAAACGCAAACCACACACCACACAGAACACACAACACACACCACACACCACACAGTACGAACCACACAACACACCGCACACCACACACCACACAGCGCACACCACACAACACACCTCAGAACACACAACACACACCACACAACGCACCACGCACCACACACAAACACAGCACACAACACACCAAACACCACACACCAGAGAACACACAGCACACCCCACACAACACAGAACACACAACACACACCATACAACAAACACCACACACCATACAACACACACCACACAGGACACACCGCACAATACACCACACACACCAGACACCACACACCACAGAACACACAACACACAACACACAATACACAACACACACACACACCACGCACTACACAACATCTATACACAACACACAACGCACACCACACCACACACGACACAGCACACACCACACAACACACAACTTACAACACAGCGCACAGCACACGACACACAACACACAACACACACGACACGCCACACAGTACACACGACGCAACACACCACAGAACACACACCACACACCACACAACTCACACAACACACCACACACCACACACACCGCACAATACACACCACACTCTACACAACACACACCGCACACCACATAACACACAACTCACACCACACACCACACCACGCACAACACACCACACACCACACACCACACACCACACCACACACCACACACCACACACCACACACCAACACCACATACCACACACCACACACCGCACACCACACACGCACATACATTCACACATACACACACGCACACGCGCACACGCAAACGCACACACGCACACGCACACACGCACACGCACACACACACACGCACACACATATTCACACACACGCACATTTACACACTCGCACACACACGCACACACGCACACACGCACACACACACTCACACACACATGCACGCACACACACACTGACGCACACATACACACACACGCACACTCACACGGACACACACACGTACACACACGCACACACGCACACACGCGCACACGCACGCGCACGCACACACATGCACACACACACACACGCACACACACACACGCACATACGCACACACGTACACACACGCACACACACACGCATTCACAAGAAGGCACACACACGCACACACACGCACTCACACACGCACTCGCACGCACACAGACACACACACACATACATAGACGCACACTCACACGCACTCGCGCACACCCTCACTCACACGCAGGCACACACACGCGCGCACACGCACACACACGCACACACACACGCGCACACACATGCACACACACGCACACACGCACACACGCACACGCACACGCACACAGACGCACACACACGCACACGCACACACACACACTTTGTTTTGGCAATCGCGGCCCCGCCAAGTAAGTCAAGCACAGCGATCGGGCCCCCGCGCGCGCCGGCATCATGGCAGGGCCGTACCATATGCCATCCGGTCGCGATAGGAACGCACACGCAGACACGTTCACACACGCACTATGTTTGACATTGCTGTGGAGCCTCGCGGTCGCCTCTCAGGACAGGATCCTATCCGGGAGGTGTTGGGCGCATGCTGGTGCCCGTTGTGGTCTTGGGGCCGCCTCGTGCGGGTCTTGAGGCCGTCTCGGGGGTCGCCCGCGGCTTTACGAAGGCCATTGGCAACCAAAGGTGGTAAGGTACAAATTTGGAAAAACAATAGCAAGTTCCTCAGCATCGTTTTTCCTCTCGGGGTCCAGTCACGCGTCCAGACATTCCCACGCCGGCCCAATCGACGGCCATATTGAGAAGGCCGTACGGCCAGTGCCGCCGACCCTGAAGACGCCGACGACGAGGACGAGGAGTAGGAGGAGGAGGAGAAGGATGAAGAGCAGGAGGACCCTTCAGGGGCCTCTGGAGAGCTTCTTGGGGCCGAGGGCTCCAGATGTCAGTTTCGTTTTTCTGTCTGGGCTCCCTCTTGGAGCTGTCCTGGTGCTCTCGAACCTTCTTGGAAGTGCTCTGGGAGGCTTCTTGGGGCGTCTTGCAGGACTCGTGGGCCGTCTGGAGGCCCTGAAGGTGTCTTGGACAGATCGTTCGGCGATTCGAAGCTCTCTTGGGCCGTCTTGGGGGCCTCCTGGGGCACTCTTGGCTCGTCTTGGGCTTATTGGGCTCCAGGACTCCCTAGGGGTGGAGTCGTATCTGATCCGGGACTCCCCGTAAGGGGGAAATCTGGGACTATTTAGGAATCAGTTTCGTAGTGTATGTTGATCTGTTTGGGTTCGTTTGATTGTTCGGTTTGTGTTCCTTGTCTCGGTCATGTCTTTTTGTTGTCTCTCATCCACTTCGTCGTCACCTACTCTTGCAATATAATCCCACTGAAAAGTCGCGAGACTTTGATTTTATTTGTCATCTGCACACTAGAAATCAATGTGTAAATCGCCCACGATAGGATTTCCTTTGAAAGTAGGGCAGAAAACGCTTCGGACCTTCCAGAACAACTTATCCTGGCGAAAGACCCAACCATATGTAGTTGTGGGTAGCGCAATTGTGAATATCTTCTTCGGTGAAGCTCCCTATGGGGCCACGAAGCGCTGCACTGGGGGGGGGGAACGCATGCGGGCGGTAGCACTGGGGCAGTCGGTGGAGCTCCCTATGGGGCCACGAAGCGATGTACTGGGTGGGTGAAAATGCCAAATTGGGTGTGTGGGACGCATGCGAACGGTTCGGTGGAGCTCCCTATGGGGCCACGAAGCGCCGTACTGGGTACGTGAAAATGCCAACTTGGGCTTCCGGGGCGCATGCGGACGGTCCCACTGGGGGCTTCGGTGGAGCTCCTAATGGGGCCACGAAGCGCTATATTGGGTGGGTGAAAATGGCAAATTGGGTTTCAGGGACGTGTGCGGACGGTACAAGTGTGGGCTTCGGTGGAGCTCCTAATGGGGCCACGAAGCGCTATACTGGGTGGGTGAAGATGCCCAATTGAGTGTGCGCGACGCATGCGGACGGTCCCACTGGGGGCTTCGGTGGAGCTTCCTATGGGGCCACGAAGCGCTGTACTAGGTAGGTGAAGCTGCCAAATTGGGTGTGGCGGACGCATGTGGCCCCCCCCCCCACTGGGGCCTTAGGTGGAGCTCCCCATGGGGCCACGATGCGCCGTACTGGGTGTGGCGGACGCATGTGGTACCCCCCCCCTCTGGGGCCTTAGGTGGAGCTCCCTATGGGGCCGCGAGACGCCGACGCCGTACTGGGTGTGGCGGACGCCTGTGGTACCTCCCCCTTCTGGGGCCTCACGGGGAGCTCCCTATGGGGCCGCGAGACGCTGTACTGGGTTTGGCGGACGCATGTGGTCCCCCCCCGGGGCCTTAGGTCCTAAGGTGGAGCTCCCTATGGGGCCACGAAGCGCCGTACTGGGTGTGGCGGACGCATGCGGTACACCCCCCTGGGGCTTCACGGGGAGCTCTTTATGGGGCCGCGAGACGCCGTACTGGGTGTGGCGGACGCATGTGGTACACC